ACACCTGGTAGAGCCACACTGATCATTTTATTAAAGATATAAGAGTTGAGACAGTTTGTAACTGTCTAAATTAACGGCTAATGACATCTTACTTAAAGATAGCATCTCTATTGCTTAATACATAGTTGTGTTTTGAATATCCATCCTTAATCTGTGTAAATGCTTCAGAAAAATTCTAAGAATTACTTAATGGTACATTTCAGGCTAGAATGGCAAAGGGGAAGCTGTCATAGACGAACGAAAGAGAAGGAGCAGGGAGGATCGAAAAGAAGTAGAGAAAAATTTACAGCCAGCCTGAGTTGAAGAAAGAGTTTCTCAGAAAGGAAAAGATGGAGAAATAGAGTGAAAGAGGGAAAATAAAGAACATCAGTGATCTGAGAGAAAGAAAAAAGGCAGAAGAGAAGGTTTTGGAAACAAGCACAGAGACGAAAGGAGAGAAAGTCCAGCAGCGTCTAAACACAACCACAGAGAACTTTAGACATAACTTCTGAGGAATCAAGAAAGAATAGCTACTAGCCAGCTACTTGCTGGTGAACTATCGAGATGTAGAATCGGACATGTGCAAAAATGAAATTATTATGAAGTGTCTTGTGATATTACATAAGTTTTTAAACTTTAATGGTGATTTTTAAAAGAAATAATTGTCACCATCGTCAACACCTTGTCAGCTCAATAATATGTATTTTTGTTTATTGTTCTCTTTTGAAGAATAATAAAAAAAAAAGTTACTTTTCTCAATAAATGTGTAATTTTCATGCTGCTAAATATGATTGTTTCTTATGGAGATTAAATACAAGCTTCTGAAAATATGTACGACTGTAACTCTAATAACAAAAAGCCAAACAATCTTACTTTTAAATGTGGTATAATTAGTTTGAAAGCATAAACAGTAGAACAGAGAAGCTGCTAAAAGTCAAACTAGCTGAAACACTTTATTTAAAATATATATTTTGCATTTCTTTGTGTCTGATGGTGTTGACAAAAACGTTGCACTTCTCCAGCAAAAACATAAATTATTAAAAAATGTTACACCTGGGAGACCAAAACATGGTGAGACGGCCAAAACTTTGTGTAACAATTATATGTAAATATGATTCCCCTAATCTCAGGCATCACTGCTGAGCATGTCAGCGATATTCATGCACTGTCAATACACAAACACTGCACCCAATTCACGTGGGCCAATCTACAGTAACACTCGGGCCAAGTCCGGCCTTTGTGGCCAAAAATCTTCATCTCCAGTGCACTCCATTGGAGCTAGAGGCTTTTTGCCCCCCTGCTTTTTCCTTCCCTGAACAGGAGCGCCTACATGCTGTCCCTCCGGTTAGGGTTTTATGTATCTATATAGAGAGAACAAAAGCTTTCAGGAGGTCTAATTAGGTGTTTATTTCCATGTTGAAAAGCCTGTTAGCAAACAACACATTTCCTTTCGCCAGCATAGGTCTGCCCCAACCCTGCGCTTCATGCTTTTTCTACAAGAGGGATGGTAACCTCTTTGGCCTTTTTTAAGGGGTGTCTCTATATAGGAGATATGTGCAACAGCAAGCTGGGCTTCAACTTGAATGACAGGTGTCGCTGCGTCACACCCTTTTATAGGGAGGAGGGTGGCCCCTCCCTGACAGAGGCGTCATGACTGCCACCCAATGCTGGCTGGAGTAATGACATAGAGACTTCTGATGATGACGCAGAGAGAGCGTTCCCCATAGTGAGACACCTCACTGATGTTATCAGAGAACAGGAGTTACGGAACAGAGCAACCTGATGATTCTGTTCATCTGGACGTAGCGTTTTGTGGGAGAAACGTTTCGTCATCATCCAGGTGACGAAACTTAGCCTATGCGACCAAGGAGGAGGGGCCTAAGGGTACATCTGTCACCATCTTACATGCTGTGATTACAGCCATTCCCCAACTCTCTGTGAATGGGACT